GATCTCTCTTCTGTAACAGCCTAAGGCTTGCAGTGGCTTATGGGTTTAAGTTGGGGACTTGAAATCCACAATTTTTGTTAGACAAATCTTATTTACTGCAAAGAAATATTGCAATATTGTTGGCATTCCTATATTGACAAATAACAACCCTTTTACTCTCAGACAGTCTAAAAGCACATTGTAATTAGACCTGCTTTATCTGCCAAGCTTGTGCCACTCTCCCATAGTTATAAGGTTGCATTTCTTTCTTTTTTCTACAAATATAATCATGGTCAATGCTCAAATGAGCTATCATCTCTATAACGATAAACCAAAACTCATTCTCGCTTGGCTATTTATTCAACAAGTTGCATCTTTTTACTGTACCTGTCCCTTCATGCTATAATATCTTTTTACAGCATGATAGTTAATCCGGTTTTTTACCTTGAACATCAAAAAAACCTTATAACTCTTACCCAACTTTATGTTTTCATTTTTTATACAACCTACAACTTTTTATGTCTTTAGTTATATGTTTCCAAGTATTTTAACTAATTATATATTTTAAAGTAACTCATCACTTAGTAGTGGTTGCTTGCAATCTTGTTTGAATAAATTAGAGTTTTAAAATATTTAAACTTTTGTAATATTTAATAAATAGTAAGTAGTAAAATAATTTGTTGTATTTACGTTCAAACAATAATTGCAAGTTGGAACTTGCAATTATTGTTTGGACGTAAATACAACAATGTGACAATAAAAACTTTTATTGCCAATCTTTGTTGTGGGTAAGTGTTCAAAGAAATAGCACATGTTAGTGGAGATTTCCATTTTTTTTTTAAATTGAAGTTTTTCAATAAAACTCTTAAGTGAGTATTGTACATTAACTTTTTTGTAGTAACTGATCATGGGGCAAAACAAATGTTGCTGTGTAGAAAAAAGAAAAATAGTTTTAAATATACTATTGAATAGACTTAACATTTCTCAAACTTCAAGTCAACTAGGGCAAGGTGGTAACCAGGAGTAAATTTGATACAACGTTTTGACAAATTTGGGAAATTGTCAAAATATTTCCTAATCATTTGCCCACCTTCCCTGAGATTTAAATGTTTCACGGGAATGCGTGGGGTACTTTTCTTATATTATTTATTCTTCTACTCCACTTTAACACTGCATACATTGATTTGACAGCAAAAATAAAATACCGTCTCTAACATTTATTAAAGATATTCATCTTTAATAAATGTTACTGACAGTATTTTATTACAAACTCAGCACAAAGTTAAAAGTGGTTTCACAACAACACAGCAAATTAAGCTCCGATTTCCAAAGATATATTTGGATATATATATTTTTATATTATAAAATAATCAGTGTATATTAATTAATTATTATTGAGAAGAATCTATTTGATTTATTTATAATCCTAATATATTTATGCGGTAGTGGTGAAGTGGTAGAGCGCTCGCTTCATAAACGAGTGGTTCCGAGTTCGATCCCCACCACGTCCCTGGTAGTACCGCGCTCAACTTGTTTCTCCGCGCAGCGGCCTTGTTTGTCAAGGTTCGTGTTTCGGAGTTATAGAGTTGAGAGAGGGTTATAGCCACAAAATAAGTAGCCTCCTCGTCTGTAGTGGCCTTCTCGGCCTTGAGGAGGTGAAGTAAAATTAAAAAAAAAAAAAAAAAAAAAAAAAAATATCATTGTCACTTATAAGAGTAATCTTTTGAATATATATTTCTTTTTTTACTGGTGTGCATTAAAGGGCGGTTTTTAAAGTTATAGAGTGATTTATGTTCAATGAAAAACTCAGCGAAAGAAACCCAATGATCTTCTATTTTTAATTATTATTTAAATTGTGCTTGATCTCCTTTATGGACGAGCCCTTACACCATCATGTAATAAATTGTGACATCAAAAATGTTTTAAAAATAGAAAAATAAAAAAAGGTTTTGAAAATAGTAAACACAAGCTCATAAATTTCATATTTCACATTTATTGTGAGTATTAATTTTCTGTATAGATAAATCGCATAGCGAAATAAAGTTACAATTACTAAGCCTGAGCAAAAAAACAACAAATGTTGTTTAATTATAAAAGAATATTGATTGCAAACAATTGCACACTATTGTGGCAACGAAGAATACCAATAACTATTTTTTCATTCATTGTCATAACATGTTATTTTGACTATGGTTCATTCAAATATTCAAATTTGCTTTTACGTTGAAAATTCAAGCAAGCAGTGAATCTAGTTTTCTTGTTTTTAATTTCTAGTAACAGTTTGTTGTAACAAAAAAAAAAACATTTTTGTTATTGAACAAATTTAAATTACGTTTTAATATACATATTTATTTTACATTTTAAATAAAAGCAAACAGTAAAGTAAAGAAATCTATTTTCCTTGTTAAATAAATTTCTAGTACCACTTTGTTATAATCATAAATCATTTTTTGTATTTAACTTATAATTCAGAGGTGGTCTTTTAAAAAAGTTAATCAAGAAAAGATAGTAGATAAGTAAAAAAAACATTTCAGTCGATGCAAATACCTAATTCAATTTATATAAAATACCAAACAAAAACAAAAAAAAATCCGTAAATATAAGACTTACCGTAATATCTAAAATTGATCAAAATTTCAAAAGTATCTGATGTAAATAACCTCTCGATATTTTTTTTGACAAAGCACATTTATTACTTGAAGTAGAGTTAGCAGTAAGACTTAATAAGTTATTTATCTTTTGGGCCAAAAAGAGTAAAACTTGTAAAGAAATAGCATTTGCAGATGTAAACCATTGTTATTTTTATAGGTTGTACTTTATTCCTTGCTAACTTTTTTATATAATATTTGCTGTTGTTGGAACATTGTGAAGAATTATTTGCAAATTTTGCGAAACAAGTTTTAGAACCAAGTTCCAGAGAAAATCCCTAAAATCGCTTTGAAAATCCCAATTTTCAAGTTTATTCCAAGTCACATTTTTGCAGTTAATAACTTTATTTCAAGTTATACTCAATAATTAAATAAAAAAAATTTATGTTATTTTTCTATTTGTTTTTAACAATAATTAATTTTCAATAACTTTTAGAATTATTATTAAACTTTAATTTGGCGAACTTTATTTGAGAAATGAGATTTTTCACCTTTAAATTGAGAATTTTAATTTTATGAGCATTTAGGAATACAATAGGGTAGTTTTTTTTTTTTTAATTGGTTTAAAAGTGGCATAAACATATTGAAAAATACAATACCACTTATGATAAAATTCGAAATCCACCACCAAAAAAAGTTTCAACCAATATGGATCACCAAAATGTTAGGGTGTCTAAAAAAGTCCTTTTTTTTTCTAATGAAATAAAACCAAAATTGAAGAACTCTATGATGAGTTGTGTTGCCGAATTTGTTGTCATTTGTATGAGGTTGGTCTTTGAGGCTGTATAGCAAAGAAGGAACCCCTTGTTTTAAAATTAAATTGACTAAAGCGATTATCATTTGCAAAAATGTTTCTAAATAAAAATGTTTTCTTTTGGAAAAAACAATTGATGGATTGATGAATCCAATTTTAATTGCTTCCAGTCTGATGGGAAAGTATATGTTAGGCATCCTATGAAGCAACCTTTGTATATTCTAAAGACAGTGAAGCTCGGTAGGGAAATATTAAAGTTTGAGAAGCTATGTCTTGGTATGGTATTGGTCCACTGGTCAAAAGTCACTGGTTCTTTTTTTCTTTTTTTTTTTTAATTAGGAAATACACAATTTTGATGCATGTTTTGAATCAATATCCTGTTGAAATATAAAATTTGGTCCAATAATTTTATTTCCAGAAGGCAAAGCTTGGTTCTGCAAATTTTTTAAATACTCTTTGTTAAGTTTGCCATCTATTTTTATTTATTTTCCTGGCTTATTACTCCCAAAACATCTTGGAATTAGTTTAGTACACTGTTAATAAAGAGATATCTTTATTAACAGGTTATTATTGGTTGGCGAGTACTAATTGACTAATAGTTTTGGTGACTTTTACCAATTTCAGGACAGGTCTAGGCATGTTTTTTTTTTTTTTTATTAGATAAAACAACTTCAAGGCTTCCGTTATCCTTTTTATTTATTTATTTTTCGGAACATGAAATTATACATAAAATTCGTTAATTGATTTTAAAATTTATATTAATTTTATGCAAAAAGGAGTTTATCAGATTCTCTTTAACAGACGCGATTTAGAAATTAATGTCGATGCTACTGACACATGAACTATATCCAGACCATCTTACAAAACCAATAACATGCATATAATTAATGCCACTTTCGACAAAATAAGGGTCAACTGCAGACTTAATATCTTTAATTGTTTAAGCGTTAATCGCACTCTGAGGTAGGTTATTCCACATTTTTTACAACTCCATGTGTTCTATCCTTTGACTCTATTTATAAACAAAATTAAGAGTTCTTTATCGTACAAATTGGATTAAAAATATAAAAGTATATTGACAGTTAAAAACTAAGAAATTATATCATAAAAATCAATTTTATCATAAAATCTTTTTTTTTAATGATATTTTTTCTTTCTTAATTAAAAGTAATGACTTTTTGACATTATTTTTAATTTTTCAAAAAAAAATTAAGTGCTTCTAAACCTTTGAGTGGTAGTGTGTGTTACATCTTAACATCTCTGACATCACACTGAAATAGCTCGCTCCTGGGGGCTTCAGTACATACATAGATTATCTTGTAATATGCTGCCGCAAAGGAGTGCGACTGTGTTGACTGAGGGTTTGTCATGGGTCAGCAATCTTTTCTTTCATTATTTGTTTTTTTCTTTTTCTGAAAATGCTGTATAAATTAATGTAATAGTAGATATATATATACATATATATATATATATATATATATATATATATATATATATATATATATATATATATATATATATATATATATATATATATATATATATATATATATATATATATATATATATATATATATATATATTAGCTTTTTTTCTTTTATTTGTAAATTAATTTTTAGTTGTTCAATGATTGATGGAATATGTCCCTCTCCACATCATAAGCCTCATTTTGAGATAGGGTAAAGAAATTATGTTACTGTCAATATAATTTATAGTATCACAATCTTGTGTGTTTATGTGTGTGTTACCTTGTTACCTTTTTTTGTTACCTTGTTGAAGAAAAATTTCACAAAACAACATTCTGGTCATAAAATCAATTCTATATTTGAGTTTTAAAAGTATGGTTTTCTTAACATGTTGTTTGTTTTCTTCAATAATAAGTTTAATTCACTCAAAAACATCTTTAACATCTTAGTATTTGTCAAAGTTTTTAGGGGGTTGTTTATTAACTCATTACTTGGTAAGGATTGTTCAACATGTCAATAGATTGTTTGAGATTGACATTTTATAATTTTCATTAATTGTTAAGTGTTTGTTATCAAAAATGTATCATTATTGTAAATAAATTTTTATTTCTTTAAAAGACTGTGAAGTCTGTTAAATGCTGCTTTTTCAAGTAGTTCATCTAGGTTGTAATTGTGTGAATTAAAGTTGAAGTAGTTCTGAAGAGAAGTCATTTTTGTGCTTTAGAATTATTTTGGCTGCTTTTGAAAAGTTTTTTAAAATATACAGTTTTTAAAAGAATTATTTATCGTATGTTTCAATCCATTGCTAATAGTGTAGTCAACTTGAGGGTCAACCTGGACAAAATTTGTAAAAAGCAGTGTTTGGTACCGTTAGAACCGCAATTAAATGTAAATTTAGCAGGAAAAAGTCCAATACCTCCAAATACCTCCACCACCAAATAACCTCCTGAGCAAAATTATTTACACTATGTTTTGTCACAATAACTTTTTGTGTAATAACATCATTTTTAAACACTTTTATAAAAAAAACACTATTGTGTCATCAAAAATGATAAATATATAATATATAATAAGCAATTTTAAAAAAATACAATACATCCCTATCAACACCAGGAAGGCCAGGGGGTGGCCTCCCCCTCCCCCACTTTTTTTTTTTTTTTTTTTAAAGATATAGGTTTTTTTCAATATTTATGCAAATGTAAAAAAATTTAAAAATTTCTCATTTTATTGACTATAATACACTAAATAGAAATGCAAAATTATTTTATTCAAACAAATTGAACCACTTATCAAATATGTTTCTATATTCATCGACGTTGTCTCCCTGATCGTTGTTATCAAATAAAGACATTGAATTGTGAAAATCTATTCCATGACACTGCAAGCACTCATGCACCTAATGCCATGCCATTTACAAGGACAAGCGTTGTTGCAAGATTTCTTTGTTATAATACTACAGTTACATCGGATAATACTAAGAATGTGCTCTGGCGCTGCAGCCTGAAATGAAATAAATTTTTTTTAACTTATTTTACATATCAAATAACATATAACATAACATAAATTACTCAATCAAATTTTCTTTTCTTTTTTTTTTCTTTACCTTATCTGTCATTATTGGGACCAAGATATTGCTTTGATTTCTGCATACCCACTCAGTTGGTTCAAGTTCAATATTCAGCAATTGCAAAATCTGCAAGTACACTCTTAAAAAATGATATCTTATAGCCTCTTCTGTTGGTGAAAGTCTTTCTGGTTAAATATCTTTAAAGGATGATGTTGCCATTTGCATATACTTATATTTTCTCATCAATGTTAGGCTTTTTTTTTCGTTGTTTCCACCTAAGATTTGATTTTCAAAAAAATCTAAAAATTTTTTTATTTTTTAGTGAATCTTTTTTTATCATAATTAATCTTTGAAATGCTCTACATTACCATAAGCTTTTATAGCAAATTGTATTCCAGCAGATGAAACTTGTTCTTATGTTGCAAAAGGATCGTTGAATACAAGACAAACCTTTTTAATTAAAATGCTGTTTAGTTCAACTAGCTTCATGGCAGCAGTTTTTCCTTGCTCAAAACATGAAGATATAGTATCACATCCACCCCAAGCATGAATAAATAGTAGATTGCTTCTTACATGAGTTGGCAATAGTGAGATTTTTTACACACTGATCAATTCCATTTTTTGCATTGATCAGTGTGCAAGAAGTTTCAAGAAGTTTCTTGCACACTGATCAATTCCATTTTTGATGCCTTTACAAGCTTCATGGCGTATGAAAATATTGCTCATTGATGGCTGCCACATGTTTAAAAGTAAAACAAGTATGTCTGTATCATCAGCAACAATGGTAGTATGATTTCTTTGGCTTGCGTTTTCAAGACTTTTCAAAACTATATAGTTTTATCAGCGTCATCTTCACATCTAGTGCAATCATGACCATGATCAAAGCACTTGATGAGAAGCTAATTAAATTAGTTATATTGTTTTTGTTTGATAAAAAATCAGCTTGCTTCCAGTTAATTTACGTTTGAAGATGTAGAGCAAGATCTGGAAATTTTACTTTTACTCGTCTTTGGTGCTCAACTTGGTGAAACTTTTGTCGAAAGTTTGTAGCCATCAAAAACCACAACTGTATTTTTTCCATATTTTTCAGTCAATATAATTGCAATACTGTTGAACTATATCACCAAATGTAGAAGGAATTTTCCAAAGGACTTTGTGTAGTAATACTCCTCCGTCTAAAACATAGTTGGTTTTGTTTAGCTCATTTGATTGTTTTGTTGAAGAATTACATAGAAGAACTTTACTAAGTAATGCTTTATTGGATTTCCTCATAAGACCATCTTTAAAAAGCGATGTTGGTTCAGGTGTTAGCTCTTACTCAAATCAACTTGTCTTCTGATCGTTCAGCTAACATGATAAGTCTTTGAAAAAGAACAGTTGGGTTCACATGAATCGTTTCATTATTAACTTTAATTCCAGGGTGTAATATTATAAGACTTTTAGCTTTTCAGAACGTTGCGCAACAGCTTTGTTAACAGTAACATTCTCAAGATCTTCAAATTAAAATCAAAATCTTTAAATTATCTTTTTGGCATCATCACAGTTTATACCATCACTTTCAGCGGCAGTTAATCCCGTAAAAATGCATCGCAGTCTTGGGTCTCTGCAATTAAATGGATTATACAGACGAAGTTGTTCTATTATTACTTTCCAATAATGATTACTTCTTCTGATACAATGATATCCGGTCTTACTGTTCTGTATATATAGTAAAGGGTGATCAAATTTTAAGTATTGCATTTTTTGAAGGTATAAAAATTATGCTCTTAGCATAATTATAGTGTCCTGTTGTTGCAAAAAGATTAAGCATTAGTCTCATAGCTTCTAAATGTTCATCCCAGTTATCAGTTCTTTTTTGCTCATATAAACATTTTGATGATGCTTACATAAAAAAGATATTGAATCCAGAGTTTGGCTGTTTTTGACTATTCTTCTAAATATATATATGTTTATTTACTTGTTTTTGTACTACTGCAATAATTGAAGATTTGTTGACATTGTCTAGTTTTATAATTTGGTTAACTAAGTCTTGATAGATTCCTTCTAGAGCAGATTAATCATATGTTGCTTCTAAATCTTCTAGAAGAAGTGTAGTCAGGACCGACTCAACTAAAAAGTGTGCACGAAGTGCTCGTGCTACTGCTTTCCCAGAAATTGTATGGCATATTGAATTCTTTGCATATATTGGTTCTAACAGTCTTTCAAATCCTGAACCTTCCATGATTGTCCCAATTAATCCAAGAAAACTCATTAAAGTATGAAAACCCCCTAAACGAACAACTATACCAAGATCTTGGGAATTAGCAATTTCAAATGCCTTCATCCATAAAGGTTGGTAAAATGTTACACTTGGTGCAACACCTAAAGCCTGATTTTTTACAAACATCAAAGTAGAATAAATACAGTTTTTATCTGATAGATTAATATTGATTATAAGGAGCATAAAGATGTTACTTTTTGGTGGATGATTTTCACTTTTTTGATGTTTTTGCATAAAGCCATTCCATTGTGGTCTATTTTTAATTGAACGAAATGTATTTAATAAATGCCACAAAAGATCAATTCCAGTAGATAAAAGTATGGTTGAAGGTGACTGAAGTTGAGAAATAGGCTTGAAAATGATATTAGACAAACAAAAAAAACACTTCTGGAGTATTGTACAAAAGAATTGGGATCTTATTCTGGGAGTACATTTCTGTTATTTGAGACAATACTCTTTTAATCTGAATTAGTATACTCAATGGTTGATTTAGATCTTTTGTACCAACTGCAATAATCCCCATGCCGTGCAATGTATCTTTACCATCAATAGTGCAGATATTATGGTCAACATTGTCAGCTACCCATTAGATAAAAGATCCTTTTTTTTTCTTCACTCCTAACGACTGAATCCTTGTATCTGGTTACCTCGGGCAGACTAATGGAAAATCCAAGTTTAAATAGCTGATTTATTAACCATTTATATTAAATAGAAAGAAAAAAAAGGCTTAATATAAAGGTAGCAATATAACAAAAAATTTTTATATTGCGTGTTAAACTTGGTACCAGATCCTCTGTATTAAACAAATAAATAAAATTCATTTTATATGTTGCTAAGAATCAAAAACAAATTATACAAACTTACATTTTATTGATATAAGTAAACAATAATAATCAAACTCAGCATAATTAGGAATTCCATAAAATTATAATATTGTCAAAAATGTAAAATAGTAACCCTAAGTAAAATAGCCATAACTTTTTTTCCCAAATAGTTATTTAGTGGACTTTTTCCTGCTTAAAGTACATAAAATTTTTTTTTTATTTTTTTATTTTTTTATTTTACTTCACCTCCTCAAGGCCAAGAAGGCCACTAGAAACGAGGAGGCTACTTATTTTGTGGCTATAACCCTCTCTCAACTCTATAACTCCGAAACACGAACCTTGACGAACAAGGCCGCTGTGTGGAGAAACGAGTTGAGCGCGGTACTACCAGGGACGTGGTGGGGATCTTCTAATGATACCAAACACTGCTTTTTACAAATTTTGTCCAGGTTGTCCCCATTTTTAGTCTATTTTGACTACACTATAAATCTTTTTCTATACTACTGAAATATCAAAAGAATTATTATGTTTCACTCTTTTGCTAATACTTTTTCTATACTACTTTTAAAGGAAATATTTATACTAATTTACTAATTATTAATACTAATTTTAAAAGAAATATTTATCATATGTTTCAATCCATTGCTAATTCTTTTTCTATACTATTTAAATGCCGATACTTTATGCTCAAAACTTGAGTATAAAGTATTGGAATCAGTATTGATCTTATCATTCTTCAATATAATTAAAAGTACTCCTATAATTATTTAAAATAAACAACTGAGTTTTGTTTGTGTTAAAATTTATTAGCCACTGCAGGCCCCAAGCTATTACGCAGGACCATGAATGGAAACTGGTTGTACCTTAGAAATAACTGAAAGAGAAAAAGAGTGTTGTCCATCTAGAACAACTTTATTATTTTAAAATGAGATATTAAAGTTGTCCTAGATGGTCAACTTTATTGCCTTTAATATTTTTTGAAAGCAAAGTGTCTTAAGTATTTTCTGGAATATTCAAGATATCAAGATTCAAGAGATTAGAAAAAGTTAATGATCTTTAAAAATAGTATTGTCTTTTCTAAGGGAGAGGTGATAAGATCAGACCCATATATGTTTTTGCTAATGACATTGTTAAAGATATTCCAAAAGTTTCTAAAACCAAATTTCTAATTTTTTAATGTCACCAATAATGTTCATAAGTATCTATTGTTCAAAATAATAGAAAAAAATTGTTGTTGATTCACTATAATTCAATAAATGTTAAAGTTACCATTAATACAAAAGTTTTCATTTCATACCACAGGTTTTTTAAAAAAGAGTTTGAATATTTAAATATAAACCTACTGAGGTTTAACAAGGGATGATATATACAGCCTATACATATATAGACTAGTTTTAAATAGTTTTACTTTAAAATTGTTTTTATTTTAAAATATTAAGGATTTAGTGACTAATAATTATTTTTTTTTAATTTATTTTAAGATCGTATCCTGGTAGTCCTTCATCTTGTTGCAGTTCAAACCCTTCATCACCTGGCTCTAAGGATGGATTAAGTTTGCTTTCAGCTCTTATTAAAAAGGGAGAACGGAAAGGACTTTTTAAAGACAACATGCCTTCAAGCATTAAGAGAGTTGTATGTTAATTTTAAACTGTGTAATATTTATGATATATACACACACACACACACACACACACACACACACACACACACACACACACACACACAAAGTTAAATTATTTTTTTATATAAAAATTTAATTGATTAATTAAAACTAAGGTCAATGAGGAGAACATAAAGTTTATGCAGCATAAAGATGTCTATGATATTGAATATTTTGAATTTCTGTGCCAGCTTTGTAGTTCCAGCAGAGTTAGTCTTATTCTTGTTATAATTATATTTATTTAGTTTTTTAAACCATTTTTAAATTAAACTTTAGTTAATGCGTCTAAAGTTTTTGACAGACAACTATTTTGTCAACAGAAGCTGTTGAGTGATTTTAACAGATGAAATGATTTTTTTTTTAATAGAGTTTTGATATAGGCGAATCTCATTTAAATGACACAAATGATAATGTAGAACTATGCTGTTTGCAGCTTTCTGTTCACTTTTTGTTTAACACCTATCTGCGGACATCAAAATCATTTAGGTATTTATATACTTGTTTACATTAACTTATATCAAAATATTTTGTAACACTTTAGTTATTAGTTATATTCCCTGTCTAAAGTACAATAAAGTAATTACTTTTTTTAATTTTTAGAAATGATATAAGTTTGGAATCATGGTGCACTTGTTTAAAATTGCTGGTAACAACAAGCAATGAATCTTGTAGTTGGTTAATCGATTATCTGTCTGATGAGAAGGGAAGAAGCTACATGCTGTACGTTGTTTTATTAAAATATGTTTTTTTGAAAATCTGAATCTTTTTTTGTTTGTTTGCGCTGGTTTAAATATAGTATTTAAATCTATGCAATGATGAAGAATCCCAAAAAGGACTCCGGATTTAAAAGTCACAAATAGATTACTTCTTCCTAGTTTCATGGAATCCAGAAGCTCTGAAAATATAAAAAAATTTATGGATTTATAATAGGAAAAATTAAAACTTTTAGGTAAGAGGAAAAATTATTTTTAAGCCTGTAGTCCTTAGGTATAATTGCAACAAAAACTCCCGGGCTCCAGTACTCCGGTTTTAAATACAATAAGCTCCAACTGATTAAATCTAATGAATTTTTTTCTTTTGCCAGATTATAAGCATGTCTGTTTCGAAGTGAGCTTTACGGCTTCTTGTTGTTGTTTTTTTTAGATAACTACTTAATACATGTTACTAAAACTTTTTAAATTTTTTTAATATTAAAGATAATTTTGTTCTGTAAAAAGAATATAAACACCAATAAAATGTTTTACCATGTGACATTAAATGAATGATTATAAACTTTCTTCGATTTTAGATAAAACGCGCCAAATGATGAGCTTGGCTAAATTTTAGTAGTTTGTCACTTTTTATCAACAAAAAAAATTGAAAAAGTATACTTTAGATAATTATTATTATATACACATTGTAAGACCACTTTAATTTAAAAAGAAATTTATTTAAACTTGATTTTTAACTGAAACATGCAATATTTATGTCAGTAAAGCATAGATTCAATCTTCTACGCGATTCATTCTTCTATATAACTTAGAATAGAAACTTTTTTACTCGTAAAATAATAAAGATCATGTGATTGTTTTGAAATGTACGCAAAAATATACGCATAAAAATAGAAAAATGTTGTAAACCAGCCAAGTTTGAAGACATGTTTGGTAACATAGTTAGAGGTATAAGTAACAATATTTAAATTTTCGTGTGCGTAAAGGATTGAAAATTTGTTAATTTGGTGATCGTTACAAAAAAATTATATTTTGCATATAAAAGTTATAAAAACAAAAATATAAATGCATTAAAAACTAATTTTTTAAAATAAATTATTTACGATCACCAAAAATCAGATAGAATAGACATTCATGGATAAATGTTCCAAATTTCAACCATCAACCATGTAGCTATGTTATCAAGTCTTTGTTGGTCTAAGACAGGTTTTTCGTAAAAATCGCCAAAAACACAAAAGTGATCCCAAATCATTTAAAATATTTTAACAATGTTTATTTTTATTTCGTCTAATGTATATATTTTTTAACCAAGAAAGATAGTTCTTTTATATTTTTTTAACTTGAAGATGAAAGCGTTTATTGAAAAAATTATATTATTTTCAAGTTAGTAAATTTTTATACTTTATATGCAGAAATATATATATTTTTTTTTAAACACAAAAATTCTTGTGACGTCAGGCTCGCTTTTATATTGAGTGAAACAGCTGTGTAAATCAACAAACATGTTTAGAGCTTCTGGACACTATAGACCTGAAAATAATAGAGATATAAAGCCGGAGTCCTTTTGGGACTCTGTGTAAATAAAATGAATCTGAATCTATGTAAATATTTTATTTGATATCTGGTATTGTTATTACTACATATTTTTTATTATACATTTAACATATTTTAAATATTTTTTTTTGGTTTTAAACTAAAACTTTTATTTAAGTGCTTACCTTGTTGAATGTCCTGACCCATCAATCAGAGAATTTTTTTCTACATTAATTTACATAATTTTTGAATACAATTATAAAGAAATAAGCGAGGTATGTTGAAATTTTTTATATAACTAAACATTGACTAAAAAAGGTGATTTGTTTAATCATTTGTTTAAAATACTTGATGTAAGTATTAAGTAACTACAGCAACAAAAGGTCAACATTAAATTTTACTTTTTACTTTTTACTTTTTACTTTTTACTTTCTTAAGGCACTAAAGGCCGCTATAGTTGAGGAGGTTGCTTTTTTTCTAATTTATTTTTTCTTTATTGTTGTCTCTCTCAACCAAATCTTAATCGCAAACTTTGATAAACAAAGTTGTTGCTCAAAGAAACAAATTGATTTCCAGCTCTCAGTTTATTAAATTCTTTAAAATAATTGCATAAAAGTAAAACTAGTACCATTTTTCAAAATTTTGAATATATTACTAAAATAAATAATAAATTAATTTGATTAAATTAATTAAAATAAATTACTTAGATTTTTTTTAGAACTTCAATAAAGTAAATTACCTGTTGTTACAACTTTTTTCATTCCTCGACAATGAACTCACAAGTTATATAAAGCATGCTTCACAATACTTTCAGCTTTTTAACAAATATGCTTGCATTGTAAGTATTTTTTTATTTTTAAACATTTTCCAAAATTTTTTTAATTGTCTAATTTTTATAATTTTGAAGATTGTTTTTTGTTTTTAGTATAATTTTTTATTCATTTAGAATAAATTGGCTTTACAACATCTTTCTGATTTAAAAACATTCCAAAGGTTTTACAACTTTTTAATAGGTCATAAACCATTGCATAATGTAAGTTTGTATATTAGTTCTATATATGTTTTTCAATTCTTCACATTGTTTCAATTATTGTTTTCAAGCATTGTCTTAAAATTACAAATAACAGCAACTAAAAATGTTTATAAATATAAAATGTTGTAAATAAAAATGATTTTGTTATATATTTTTGTGAATAATAAGAACTAAAAATGTTGTTTTATATAATTGTTAAAATTAACAATTAATGTTATTATAAATTATTTTTACCATTAACACCAATAATGATATATATTATTTGTAAAAATCACAAGAATTATGTTGTTATATAATATTTTTAATAATCACAAGCAATAATTATTACACAAACAATTATTTCACAAACAATAATTATTACACAAACAACAATTACTTATTATAACAATTAAAGTTACATTTTAAACAATATAAGAATTAGTGATATACATTACCCACATAAAATTATTGCAGATTATTAAATTTTTATTAAATATTTTAGAGTGAAAAATCTATTCGCAAATGGAACAATGTTCAAAAGCAAGAAATTGTTTCATTGTATTTTACAATAGCATTACTTCTTTTGCATAGTAATAATACATCAAAACATGTTGGTAACTAAATTTTATTTATTTCTTTAATTAAAATTGCTTTTTAAAAATTTTATTTCAACAAATAATAGTCTTTTGTAAAAGTTTAGAATCAGTTAAGTATTTTTAAGTAAATCCATAATTTATTGAAAAAACATACACAAAGCTAAGATTTAATTTATTTTATATGTATGTATATAACATTAAATAAATTTTAGCTTTGTGTATGTCATTTTCAATAAATTATGGATTTACCTATAAACTACTAAACTGATTATAAAATTTTGCAAGAGGCTGTAGTGTTATCATAGCATAAAATTAAAGCTTTCATTTAACTTTATTTTTACAAATTTTCTTCTATTGAAACTGATAAAACTTATTTCAGCATCGTCTGTATTCAATTGCCCTCCTCCTCAAAGTTTAGTAATATTTTGTGAGTCTCTACAGATGAGTGTTGATATTGAAGAATATTTCTATGGAAAACCAGGGCAAAGGTTTTTGATTGAAGTAAATTTTTTAGTGTAACTTGTTCAATATTTTTTTTTTCCTTTGCATTTGCATTTGAATGTTATTTTACTAATTTTTTAAAATTTTGTTTATGCAGATTATTCAGACATCATTAGAGTTACCTCAATTAATCAGCACTGTGGTAGATATTTTAGTTTATGGATGCTGGTGTAACATGGAATATTCTCTTACTTTTTTATCTGAAATTTTGGTACAATATTATATAAAATCTCTTTTAATATATATATATATAAATATGCGTATATGTATGTATGTATGTATGTATGTATATCTATGTTTCTATATATCCATATATGTATGTATCCATATAAGTACATATATCTGTGTGTATTTATATAGAAATACTTGGATTTAATATCGTTAAGAAATAAGAAATACTTTTATTTTATTTTTATTTTCAGCGTCATTGTCTGGAATTAACTCCATTTCGTTCATTAATTCTCTCAACAGAACTTTTGATGTCTCTCAAAAACAAACTTACAATTTTATTTTTTATTTTTTTTTATTATATTATCTCCGCAATATTGCTTACTTTTATAATATTGTGTTAAAAAAAAATGTATTTAAAAAAACAATATGAATAGTATTGAACATCTAAAAAAAAAATTTCATAAACTTTTCCAGAAAAACATGTTATAACACTGTTCTGAAAAATTCTATATTTAGATTTCTTTTCGCTGCCTCAGTTTTGAATAAAAATGTTTTTCGTTAAATTGTAAAATCAGAATAATACTTTAAATTTTCTTTAGAGTTCTTGTAAACTTGAAACTATTTTAAGTAAACTAAAATTTATTTATAACCAAGTTATTCACATAAAATAATCAGAAAAAACATAAAATTCAAGATATTTTCATAATAAATAACTTTTTGACCCTCGTTTCTAATATTTAATATAAGTTACAAATACAAACATCGGACAGTATGGCAAGTTAAAATTTTTACTACCTTGAGCGAAACAAACAAATACAATCATTTTTAACAACATCTGGTCCAACTTCAAGTATTTAACTTTGCTTAAAGTTTCAACAGCAGAATATATTTTGAACAGATTTATTAAAAAATTTCAACTATTTTGTTTGGAACCTGATAAAATAGAAGATTTACTTTTCTATTTCTTAGCATGCCTAAAAATTGCGTATTTTACAATCTGTCCTTAAGTTCATTGAGTTATGATAAATTTTTAAACATGCATACTAACTTTTAGTTTTAAGTGTTTTTAATTTTCTTTATACTAAAAAAATATGTTTTATTTAGAAAATATGTTTTATTTAGATTTTTTATTTATATGTTTATATTAGATACTTTTAACCGAAGCACCAGTAAATGATTTAAAGTCTGCTTTTGAATTGGTCAAAGTTATTTTAGTAAGTGTTCGTTATTTTTAAAGATTTTTTTGTTTATAAAATATGCATAGTTTTATTCATTATAAAGTCATTCACATTATCAATTAGGAATTAGGAGATGGTATCCAGAACAATAGAGTTGAAATATTTATAGATGGTTCCACAGAACATAATATATGTGGGATTTTAAGTATGTATTTTTTTTAATTTCAAATGAATTTTTATCCAAAGCAAGTTTTTTATTGGTTCATGTAATATTAAATAATAATTATTTTTTAACATGGTGTTGACATTTTCTATTGGTTGATTCCAATATATCCCCAACCCTTGGAATTAGGGTCGGCATTTGGCAATGCTGACCTAACTGCTGACCTGAAAATGTTTGAGGTTGGCAAAATATGATAGAAAAATAAAAAATTTAACTTTTAACTATTAAAACAACACATTTGATAGATTTACATTATCATACAGAAGGTTAAAAAAGATTGTTGTCATAAGATATTTGCAAATCCCAAAAATAAAGAAAGGTTGTAGATGTTATAAGTTATCTTCAAATCCCTAATTAAATATAAACAAAGATTGTAGACATAAAATATCTTCAAATCTATAATTAAAAATAAAATGAGAAGTATTTGTCTTACTTTACATCAGCCCAAAGTAAAAAGTTTATAAAGCGATGGTTTTATTTAAGAACTTATCCGCTCGTGCCACCAAGATGATGCTCAAAGAGCGTATCTATGTGTGAAATTCCTAGTTAGAAGTGACAACAAGTTAGTGCGCAATTTTTTACTTCAAAATTCAATTAAGTGGCAGTGGGCTGTTGAATGGTTAAAAAAAAAGGTAAATTCATTTATTTATTTTTTTAATAAAAAAAATTTTTTTTAAATTACTTAAAAAAATATGTAATTAAAAATTACAATTTTTATATAAAATTGCAATTTTTGTTATTAGATTTTTAGCTGTTTGCCAAAAAAATTTTAATTCTGTTAGTTTTAATAAATGCCTAAATGAATGCATGTGTTTCATAACATACATATATTTTTTTAACAGTTTTTTTAAACTGTAAATTTTCTATTTTATTATGATAATAATAAAATAAAAATGTCCTATAATTTTAATATAATTATTTTCTTTTCAAGATGAGTGAATTTTCAATGTGGTCAGCTCGCTCAAATACCTCAAATGATAACCACACTTCATTTCAGCGAACCAATAGTGCACAAGTATTTTTTTTTCCTTCTTTTTGGATTTTAAAAAAAAAAAAGTTTTTTTCAGTTATCTGGAAGCTGATAGAGCTGTTTTTTTATTTTTCAGAACACTCTTGCTGAAGCAACAAAGTTACTCATAGAAACACAATCCTACAATAGTTCAGGATACCCTAATGATGCTATAAATGAAGATGAAGTTTCATAATAAATATTGTTGCTGTTCACTTGGAATTTTTATTTGTCATTTTTTTATTCAAAACTTTTATGTTTTTGCTAGCTAAATTTTTAAAGTTTTTAGTGTCTCATTAAATTCTATTGAGATTTTCTAATTAAATGACTTATTTTATCATATTTTTTATTTGCATTTGGTAATACAATTTTATTTTTGTGTGGATTATTTTTTTTCATGTAGATCTAAATATAACAAATATAAAAGCAAGATGAAATATATAAGTATATATACACATATGTATATGTATATATATTTGTATATATATATATATATATATATATATATATATATATATATATATATATATATATATATATATATATATATATATATATATATATATATATATATATATATATATATATATATATATATATATATATATATATATATATATATATATATACATACATGGACATACTTACATGCACACGTGTATATACATATGCTATATAAATATTTTGTTATTGTATCATTAATAATATTTCATGTATAAAGCATAAGAAAGCATATATTTATTAGTAATTAGGCCCAGGTTTATCACTTTTTTTATATCACCCTTTTGTTCACTGTTTTAAAAAAACCTAAGTTACTATTGTTAGTGTTAATCCTTGTTAGTGTTTAAAGTTTATTGAGCTAACAATACAGTATAGGCTAATACAATACAAAACTTAAAATGAGAGATGTATGGTGCTTTTTAGAATATAATTTTACAAATGCATTAGTGGCATTTCTTTTAATGCTACTTGGTTATTCAAATGTTATGTTTTTAAGTGCATACCTGGCCCATATTGTTAGTTGGTTATATCTGTTTTAAAAAATATGAATTTTTTTTGGGTTAAAAAGATGCTTTGTATAAAGTATTGTAAAGATTTTTCATACAAAATATTGTAAAATGACCTTTTATTGAAATTTTTTGCTTTTTTTTTATTTTGGTTTTATATCATGAAACAATTATTAAATATTTTAATTATTCATTTGGCATAAAGTTTTGATAAATTGTCTCTTGAGACCAGAACTAAGTCCAAAACATCTGTTTTGCAGAAAAACAATTTAAATCGTTTCGATTGTTTATATTGACCTTATTTTTGATTATAGCAATATTACTTTTTGCCACATCAAATATTGTAGGAAAATTGTTTTGCCATGATCAAAAATATAACAAATACAAACAATTGAAAATTTTTGAATTGCTCTTTTGTAAAACAGATAGTTTGAACTTGGGTTAGTTTTGATTTAAATGGATGAAATGTTCTATGTATGTTTATATGTGTGTGTTTATATATATATATATATATATATATATATATATATATATATATATATATATATATATATATATATATATATATATATATTTATATATATATATACATATACATATATATATATATACATATATATATATATATATATATATATATATATATATATATATATATATATATATATATATATATATATATATATATATAAACACACATACAAAGAACATTTCAATAAGTAGAAAATCACTTATTAATCTTATTTATTTTAAACAGTCCATCAATAAAGACATCAGAAATGAATGCTCAAATAAATAAGTTTCAATTTATACCAAAAATTAAATTAAAGAAAGTCATAAATGTAAATAGTCATAAATAACTTCTGTAATATTTCAAACCTAAGTGGAATTTTGCACATTTGTGGAATATGTTGACACTATTATAAAAAGAATTATTTAGAATTATTTATTTCTGCTTTTTTATTTATTTATTTTATTTTTTTTTGGTGACTTTTATTATTAATTTATTGACTTATTTTCATGTCTGCATTTAAGAGTAAATTCCAATATTTTATTTAATAATCATTCTTGGATTTCATGTGTAATTCATATTTTTCTGGTAGGCTTAATATAAATTTATTGTAAATTTTACTTTCCATACGTATTTTGATAACTGACTTTTGAATATTCTTGTTTTTTGTTTAACTCATTGTTTCTTGTTTAACTCATTAATATGATAAATTCTCAGTATTTGTATGTGTAAATATTTCCACTAAGATAGGAGAAGCGTTTTTAAAATTGGTGAATAACCACTTCCCGCCCTCTTATAAAATGCATAAAATTTTAAGCGAAAACTTGAAGTTGAATTGGTTTATCCTTAATACAGGACCTAGGTATAATAATATTTCCAAAAAAAATGTTATTCTTACAAAAGAAAATAGAAATTACATAAGCAAACCAAGAATGTATATTATATAAAAAATCAGAATTGATTTTTAAATGTGGACATAAAAATAAACTTCTCTTATAAAATAAGCAAATTAAAAAAATAATAATGAGAAATCTCCATTAAAAATATATTTAAAAAATAGAAATAAACAATTCTAAAAGAATTATTTTTATAATAGTGTCAATATATTCCAAAAATGTGTGAAACTCAATATATATAATATATAACAGTAGTTAGACATTTATGACTTCCTGTAATATAATTTTGATATAAATTAAAGTTAATTAATTTGAGCATTTATTTCTGATCAGCCTTAATTGATGAAATTAAATTAAATATTATATAAAATAAATGTGTGTGTGTGTGTTTACCCTTTATGGTAAAAAATGGGTCTAAATAAAAACCATTAAATTCAATTGAAACCAATTAAACTTATTATTTTTTAAAAACCCTCAAAAACCTAATTTCTTTAAACATAAAGAGTCGTTAAGAGCCATTTTTTACCACAAGCAATAAATTTCAAACTATAAATATATATATATATATATATATATATATATATATATATATATATATATATATATATATATATATATATATATATACACACAGCTCTTAGAAATAGGCTTTGCATTCGGCAATGCTGACTTAGCTGCCGACTCAAAAGTGTTTGAGGTCTGCAAAAAATTGCCCACCTTGTTATTACCTTGTATGTTGTATGGTAACCTCTGTTACCATACAACATACAAGGTTGTATGTTGTATGGTAACAGAGTTAAACTTTTGTCAAAAAATTTTGTACAAATTTTAAATAATGTAATTTTAAAAAATTTTAATTCATTTTTTATAGTATTATCTAATGTATAATTTAACGGCATCTGGAAAAGTTGAAACATATGTAACCAAATCAGGTATTAAGTTTTTAAATACTTTAATTAATTGTAAAAGTTATGTTCATATAAAAGTTATGTGATTAAAATGCTTTAATACTAAGTATTACTGATTAAGGGTCTGCGTTTCAGAACGGTACAAGACGAAACGAAACAAAACAATGAAAAATATCGTTTCGATAAAACCGTTACAAAACGAAACAATTTTTATCTTGTTTCGCAAAATATGGTACGAAAAGAAATACAATTTTCTGGTTTCGTGATAAATACGGGACACATTTTTTGTTTTGAAAAAACTGGTACGAAACGAAATAAGATTAAACTTTTTCCGAAATAAAACGGTAAAAAACGAAACAAACAAACAAGAAATTTCTGAGTTTTACGAGAAATACTAATGTTTTTACGACAGATAGGGCTAGCATAAAATGAAAAAGTAATTTACATTTTATATTGTACCAATTTAAGCACACATTTGCGATTTTTACGAAAAATCAGTTTTTATTTAGACAATTATATTTCACAATAAAATTTTAAAATTTTATTGTGAAAAATAAAATTTTGATTTTAAAATTTCACAATAAAAAGTAAAACATTTTTATTTTAATACTTGTTGAGTGTCACTTTCGGATGTTTTTTCGGATGATGTTGTTTCGGATTCTTCTGGAATTTCCATTGTTTTTCTTTTGATTCCTGAAGATGTTGGTGTTGATGGTAAAGAAGAAGAACATAATGGCGTTGTTGAAACGTTTTTTGTTTTGAACAATAACTTTTTTTGGTTATTTGAAAAAACTGCTTTAGGAATAGGATTTTTGGGAGGTGTTCTAACTGGAGTTAATGCTGGGGGGTCCAGGGCTTCTTCAGCGTCGCTTATAATTTTCAAGGTCATGTGAGGACAGACAAGATCATAATTGACTTTAATCAAAGTCAATTGCTTTGCTGTCTGAGTGGAAAGACTGTGTCTTTTATCATTTATAATTCCACCGCTGGCGCTGAACACTCTCTCACTACAGCTTGATGCAGCTGGAATGCAGAGCAAATTTCTTGCCAATTGTGCTAACAATGGCAAAGTAGAGGCATGTTTCTTCCACCATTTCAGCACATCAACTTTATGCTTTTAACTATTTCTCTGTTTTCCATTTCAATGTGGTCATGAAGAAAATTGTCAGTTTTATAAAGCATAGTTAGCATATGATGAAGCACTGGTTCAGTGTCCTTGGACATGCAATCTGACATAATCTTCATTTTTTTTAAGACTGGCATCAGTGAAGCCATCAGTGAAAATTGGTTGTCACTTGGAATAACGTTCTGTAGTGGGTTGTTATTTAGTGCATCTTTTTCTCTAAGAGAAATCAACACATCTTTAAGTTTAAGGATTGACTCCAGCATAAAACAGTTAGAATTCCACCTGGTTTTTACCGGAGCAATGATTTTAACATAGTTTACACGGAGCAACATACACTCTTTTTCAATAAGTTGACAAGCTAAGGTGGATCTGTGGACTTTGCTAGATAGTTGTGTGGCAATATCTATGCATTCTTTGACTTCTTGCACTTCATTGGTAGCAAGTAGTAGGCTAGTGTTTAGTAGGTGGTCTGCACACAACAGTGATTCGTATTTTGTTTTGTTCATGATTGACACAGCATGTTTCATGTTTGCCGCCGCATCGTGGACAATGACTTTCTTGGGCACGGCGTCCAATACCGGATATTTTTGGATCATTTCTTCCAGAGCCTTAAACAAGAATGAAGAAAAATTAATGATTTATAAGATAACTTATGCAGCTTTTAGGTTTTACAATAAATTATAAATTCTTTCAATAATTGACAAAATCCTAGAAGAAACGCTATTCTCGCGGAAGGATAAGTTTTACTTTTTTAAATTATTTTTGCACTTACAAATTTATATTTACAAGAACAAATTATATCAACATAAGAAAAATTACTTTGCTAATGTGGTAACCAGTGTGTCTTCCCATGAAATTGTCAAAGTTGAGAACATATTTTTTCAGTTCAAACTGACTATTGATATAGTGAAGCGTAAGAGTCATGTATGGATCCTGTGACCTAGAGGTCCAACCATCAGTGGTGATAGCCACCTGTTGACAAGTGGAAACTTCGTTTTCAATTAGGTTTTGCACAGTATCCATAACGCTTTCATAAAGCAATGGCAGCTTGTACCTTGAAAAAGTCGAGGAATGTTTCACAATTACTTTTGGATTTAAATGTTCCACCATTTCTTTGAAGCATGGTTCATCTACTAGAGTGAATGGACTACTTGACCTGGCAATGTATGACATGATTACCATGTCTGTCTCCAATTGCCTGCCTGATTGGGAAGAATATTTCCCAATAGTTCCCCCATTAACACATTTAGATAAGCCTTTTTGTGATCGTTGATCTAAAAAAACGAAATAAAAATTAAAGTTAAACATGAAAATTATCTTTATACAAGGAAAAACATTATTTTATGAAAAATAATTAGAAACTTACTGTATGCGTCATTCAGTTCGAAGGCAGCTTCTGTAATTTCTTTAATATCTTCTTCTCTTTGGCGCTCAAGTTCAATTTGGGCTCTTAACATCGTAGCGTAGTCAGTGGGATGCTTTGTTTTCAGATGGTACCTGATACCACTAGTGGATCCATCAGTTAACTTGATTTGGATTTGACACTTTTTACATTCCCTACACTTAACACCTGACACAGTAACTTTATTAAAATAATTCCATAAAATTGTAGCTTTTATAGGCATGATTATATGATTGAGAATTACTATGGTTTTTAAACAATAAATTAATTAGTTTTGCAAAATATTTCAAGTTAACACAACAATATCGCATTTAAAATGTTATATAATATAATTTGAACTATTTAATTCAAACAATGATTTCAAACTCTTCATGCGAGTTTATAAACAAATACATAATTTATGTCTGATGAACTTAAAGTTAAAATTTTATTACAGTAAAACGGTTTTACTGTAATAAAATTTTAACTTTAAGTTCATCAGTTTTACTAAAACCTGCCTACAGAAGACAATATCTTTTTTTAACTTCTTTAGATGCGCTAAGCCTTATGAAAATGATGCTATTGCATTGCTTTGTTAATACATTTTTTTAGTTAAACTTTGATTTACGAAACATTGAGTTAGTAAGTATTAAACGTAAAAGTTTATGTATTGCTCGAGGGCATGGGAATCGTGAAATATCTGTTTGGGCGGGGAGTTATGAAATATTCCGTAAAAACCGATAAGAAACGAAACAATTTTATTGTGTTTCGTAAATAACGGTACAAATCGAAAAAATAATTTCACGTTTGGTAACAACATGATACGAAACGAAACAAGATTTACGTGTTTTGTATAAATGCGATACAAAACAAAATGATATTTTTTGTTTCGTAAAAACGGAACGAAACGAATACTCGCATTTTTTACCGTTTCATACCGAACTTCCGAGAGAATACGAGCAGACGCAGACCCTTATTACTGATACATATTACTGATGTTGATGTCAAAAAGTTTCATTAAATTTTAAAACAAGATATAAAATGATAATGCAATGATATAAAATATGCAAAGAAAAATAACTATGTAACTATTTAGAGACAACGTTCTTCAAGTTTTATTCATCACAAAGTTCATTATTTGTACACGAAAATTCTCTTTTCAACTGCAATGTTATAAAATATGCAACTGCAAATGCAATGAGAATGTAAAACATGAAGTCTTAAATCAACCTTTCAACATTCTTATAACATTCAATAAAATTTAATAGTTTATGTACCATTGACTAAAAGTATACAATCTGAATAATTTAAAGTACTAAATAGTATTTTGTAAACAGAATGTTTACAGAATACTATTTAGTATTTTGTAATGTAAATACTTTTTAATAGAATTGTGTCATGTTCTCAGTGTCATGTTCTCAGGCATATTGCTAGTTAAGTAGTTTGGAACACACAAAATGTTGGTCAACCACCACACTTATTTTTTACATATTTTTTCCACCATGCATTCCACCTTCTGTTAAGCAATTTCCAGCAATTATGACTTGGGGTGCAATCACTGCCAACAGTCATATTGATTTAAAACTTTTTAAAACAACGTGAGACTTCTGTGAAAAATTTCTTTAATCGGTAGAATAGTTTGCTTGAAAGATTTTTGCAAGATAAAGCACAGGAAAAGTATAAAAAATTTGTTATTACCTATATTAAGCGTCTTTTTAAAAAGGTTTTACTTGAAAGCATTTATGTTTTTTTTATCACTAGCTTGAAGATTTTGAAAAAGGTGACCTAAAAAGGTGGTTTGTTTACACTCTTTCTATGACAGGAGTTGATTATCTTGAAGCTTTTTTATGGAGGTGTGCAAAGATCTGGACAAAATTTTGATTGCAGCGTATATCAAAAAAAGTCTGAAACTTGTGGCAGAGGTGACTCTGATTTTTGCTAGTTTAGCGTTTGACAAAAGAGTTTGCTGCCATGCCCTTGTTTCACTCTTTCTGCTATGGTTAACATGCAGACATTATATACTTTAAGTGGTATTTGCAAAAGTCTACAAAAAAAAGTAGTGGAAGTACAACAAGACCAGATATTTTGCTATTTAAAGTTTTTAAGTCTATAGCAGGTTGGGTTTTAAAAATATTATACAAGATTATGATTTAAGATCTTTTTTTGTAAATAACTCAAGCAACCTATAAATCTAACTTGGCACCCTTATAAGTCCACCCTCAGAGACACCACTCAGTTTAGCCAGAATAAAACTTAGCAGGCAGTCAGATAAATTGCTTGAATGTTTCATTAAATGATCTAAATTTTATAAGCTCCTTACTCCACTTATAACGATTGGTTGTAGTTTGAAAGATCCTATAATGCATCGTTAACAGACTTTGTGACGTAGTCATTTTTTTTGAAAAATGAATGAACACACTGAATGGATGTGATTTAAAAAAAAAAAGAATTACTCTGAATGTAACAAAATAATTAACAAAATAATTTTTGTCATTATGCAAAACACAAAATGATGTTAATTTATTATAATGACTTGTGTTAAACAAACAACACAAGGATTTGTGTGTGAATTTATGCACAATCTTGCATTTAATCGTAAAGCAAATTTTCTGTTTATTTAAACTCATGTTTCTTAGAAAAGATGCATGCTGTACACAACAAAAAATTGAACTAAAAGAAGTTGCTATAATTTTTAAGTTATAAATTGCAATGGATGTATGCTTCCATTTTATTGAAAGCTTTGTTAAGAAATACTAAAAGTTTTTTGTTTCATTTTTGTGAAAATTTGTGCCAAATTTACATGATATAATAGTATATACTTTATCTATTTATTTTAAACAAATTTACATGATATAATAGTATATACTTAATTCATTTCTTTTAAATAAGATATTATGTTTTTAATTTGAATTTGATATATTGAAATAAAATTTAAAATTTACTGAAAGTGACATTCACTTATCTTATATAGTTTCACATAAAGTATTTACATTTGCGTATATTTTCATCAACTTGTATATATATATTTGTTCATAAACTGTTTTAAAGAATGAAGGATGAGGGGCTAACGCTCAAAAAAACACCCTAAATTCTATAATATGTCATTATCATTTCAAGTCTTTAACATTTTTTGATGAAAATTTTTTGCGCTGCATTTGCTACATATGAGAAACCTCTATGAATAATTTATGTGCTTTAGTGGTGGCAACAGAACTATGCAGTTTATAAATTAATTCTTGGAAAGATTATATGTGGTATTATAGTGGTGGCAACAGAGCTATGCAGTTTATAAGTTAATTCTTGGAAGAAATTGTGTAAAACTTATAGTTGCTTTGGATATTCAAGATTAAATTCAAAAAAAGACTTGAAGTTACAAAAACTTTCGAAGATTTTGATCTATGATTGCTTTTCAATCACACACAAATAAAAAAAGACAGTCCGGACGACAAAATGAAAAGTTGATGTTTTAGATTTAAGCAATTTTAAAACTTGCCATCCTAAAAAAAAAATTTTAAGTTTAAAATAAATGTAATAAAAAAAAAATAACACAAATGAAAAAAGCAGATAGAGAAGATTAAATAATAGTTGAATTGAATTGAATTCTTCTTAAAAACCAAGTATGAAATTAAAAGTTTTTAACTTCTTAAAAACTTTTAATTTCATACTTCTTAAAAACTTTTAATTTTATTCCTCTTAAAAACTTTTAATTTCATACTTCTTAAAAACTTTTAATTTCATACTTCTTAAAAACTTTTAATTTCAAACTTCTTAAAAACTTTTAATTTCATACTTCTTAAAAACTTTTAATTTCATACATCTTAAAACTTTTAATTTCAAACTTCTTAAAAACTTTTAATTTCAAACTTCTTAATAAACTTTTAATTTCATACTTCTTAAAAACTTTTAATTTCATACTTCTTAAAAACTTTTAATTTCAAACTTCTTAAAAACTTTTAATTTCAAACTTCTTAAAAACTTTTAATTTCAAACTTCTTAAAGACTTTTAATTTCAAACTTCTTAAAAACTTTAATTTTAATTAAAGTTTAATTTTAATTTTAAAATTAAAATTTAATTTTAATTTTTATTTTTTCTTTTGTTTTAATTTTATTCTTCTTAAAATCTTTTAATTTCATACTTCTTAAAAACTTTTAATTTCATTCTTCTTAAAATCTTTTAATTTCATATTTCTTAAAAACTAAATAATGTTTGGTATATTATTTATTAAAGAAACTAATAAGATTTGAAAATTAACCTTAGCTTTATTTCTTCGATTAGGAAAACCATTATTGCACCTGCTACATTTTTAAATTGTTGCACTTGATAAAGAACGATATTTGCCCATAATTAGCAAGACATAAACTAAATACTATTTGGTATATTATTTATTAAAGAAACTAATAAGATTTGTTAAAAAAACTAATAAGATTCTTAAATTTATTTTCTCGATTAGGAAAACCATGGTTGCACTTGCAACATTATTATATTGTTGCACTTGCTGAAACACGATATTTGCCCATAGTTGGCAAGACATAAACAAGACATAAACAAAGGCCTTTAAAGATTTTATCACTAATGCATCTAAAAAAAATTATATAAGATAAAAACATAATTTTAATAAGTATAATTTTTTAGTTTGAGATTGTCTGGAGATAATTATCTACCAGTATTGTTGTTCCCTTAACTATCATGTATATCTCACCTATAATGTTTATAATCACCTATAATGTTTATAATCACCTATAATGTTTATAATCACCTATAATGTTTATAATCACCTATAATGTTTATAATCACCTATAATGTTTATAATCACCTATAATGTTTATAATCACCTATAATGTTTATAATCACCTATAATGTTTATAATCACCTATAATGTTTATAATCACCTATAATGTTTAGGCATTTGCCAGTCAGCTTGTAGTATGCATTATTTGTTTTGAAATTGTTTCCAATAAGACTGGTTTTTTACATAATTTTGTTTAATGCATCTAAATTCATCATCTCTGAATAGCACAAACAAATGTTACAAAAAATTATTTTCTATAACAAAAATTGAAATTACAAAAGTCTCTAAAAAAAAATTAAATGCCCAGCAATGAATAAATTTTTTTTTTTTTTTTTTTTTTACCAACAATGGGGTGTTTAAAGGTTGTGGAAATTCCTCAAGTTTAATACTAGCTGTTAAAGAATCATTTTGAATCCACGTTTACCTGCGTAAACATGATTTATTAATCAATTGTACAATCTCATTTTCACTTCGGTCTGTATAAATAATGCATACAATTATGTCTTTATTACATCGACTTTGTATAGAAACAAGTTAACATTTTAAAATTAATTTAAAATGTTAATATAGGATACCCCTTAGAAGCAAAGTTATTTTACTGATTTCTTTTTTTATAAATTTTAAATCAAAATCAAATCTAGCCTTATTTGTGACATCAGTAGTTAAGCCAATTTAGTTGAATGCTCTTCCGCGGTGCTCCGTGACAAGACTGCTAGGTCTTTTAAGAGCGCCTAAATAAACCAAAAAATAAATCCATATGACTTGCTAATTATTTCTATTAATAGATATTTTATAGATTTTTAATAGATTTTTCATAGATCAGTGTTTAATAGATCTTGTAATAATAATGAAAATTTTATAGGCAGTATTATTATAATGTATTTTTAAATATTATTCATTTTAAATTGTGTATTATACTTTTTAAATTTTGTTTTTTTATATTTTATGTAATAGTATACTTATTTGCTTTACTTTTTTAAGTTAAATACTCAGGTTAAAATTGATGGAAGTTAAAATATGGTTTTTTTTTTTTTTTTTAAAGGAAAATCTTCAAAAGTTATGTCTTTCAAGTGTATTTTTTGCTTTTTTGCACTTGGTTTGTTGATTTGTACTCTTTCTTGGTTAGCATTTGTTCGTAATGTGACTACTCATATGCAGCTGATGTCAGAACCAATTTATATTTCTATTAACGAAGCACAACTTTCTGAAAAATGGAGCCATGAAGATGAGCTAGATGTGCAAGACGAAGGAAAGTTTCATGTCGTCACAAATCTAATTCTTGTAACTCACAAACATTACAGCATCAATTTGCGCTATGAAAACAATCGCATACCTGACGCGAATCAACTTCAAGATAGACAGACTGAAATTGAATCTACTTTGCAATTAAATTTGAATAATGATAAAATAGCTGCAGTGCATGTATTATATTTTCATCCAGCTGTTGCGCAATACTTACTTAAACTTCCTTTGCAAAACTCAAAAAAACTTATTTTGCATCTGACTAAACGAGATCCAACTGTAGGCATAAATCTTGATTATATTCAAAGTTATTTAAAGCATAAACCAGTTATCCTGATGCACATGGACAATTTTTTAGGTTCAGGTTGGGAAGATGTTGATTTTACTCTTTTGAGAACTCAAAGATTGGTTTATGCATTAACGCGTCACTCGGTCACTAGTAAATTTCCTTGTAATGCTGCGGTGAGTGCATCTTGTAATCCAGGCACCGCTTACATGGGTTCCCATGATGCATTTGTTTTTCACGCAGATCGAGATTTTGAAAAAGAAATGCTTCAGGAATTAGATACTGGTCCTAATTCGAATGGTATTGAAAATGTTTTGATATGGTACCTCCGTGAAAAGATGGGTTACCGAGTAATAAATCCATGTCTTCATCTGATAGTCTACCACAATCATTGCGTACCTATTCGAGATATAGGAAGGAAACGATTTAATCGTAAAGGCAAAAATGGATTAGCGCAATTTACAAGAGAATTGACATAAATTATATCGAGCATAATTATCTTATACCCGTCAATAAAAGCTTGTATAAATTTCAATATAAGATTCAATTTTATTTGAGTATGTTGAATAAATTTTTCTTTAATTTTAGAAACTCATGTTTTCGACATTAAATATAAAATGTAAAATTTTTTATAATTTTTATGAACTATTTATTAAATATTTATAGATTTTTTTTTGTGCACAATTTTAATTATTATAATCTTATTCTATACTTCAAAAAATATACAAATGTATATATTTAAATAACTTTGAATTATTTTATATGAATTTGGAGGTATTTTTTAGCAATTTTGTCATTAATTGAAAATGTTTCAAAAATGTGCACGGTTCAATGATTTTTGTACTCGCAAGCATACTTGAGTCGATAGAATTTGTTGAAGTCTGGGTAAAGCTAATATTTAAAAAATAAATAGGGTTAATTCTGTATTGCATAGCAGTTAATCCTGTATTGCATAGCATTTTTTCTTGATTTAAGGTGGTACATTACTAAAAAAATACTGATTTTGGCGTAAAATGTCAAAATTCAGTTTTTGGACTCTTGGATTTTTTTCCATATTTTATCTTTTTCATTTGATATAACTATCTTGTATTATTTGATAGTATAAAACATTTAAAAATTGCATTTTTTATGGGTTTGAGCCATAGCAACGCCTTAGCAACAAAACAAAAACCCTTACTTAATCCCTAAAATGTAAGTTAAAATGACTTTTTTTAAAACAAAGCAGAATATATCAGCAAACTCAATTCCACTTTAGGTTAAAAACTTGATAATACCAGTTTATTAAGGCTTCCAAGACTCAAAATCTGAAAAAGTCCTTGAATGCCATCATAAAGTCCAGAGTTCCAAAGAACACTTTTTTTTTAGTAAAAAAAGTAGTTGAAATACGAACTATGATTTATTTACGAAATATGATTTATTTTAATAATGAGAGTAAAGGTATTTGAAGTGCGCTAAAATTGTCGCAATTCCGACTCCACAGCCCTGATTGAATCCTTTGGCTACCGATCTCAATTTTTTTCATTGTTTTATACACTTTTGTATTGCATTTTGCTCAACACAAAATTTGTCAAATTGAATAGATGTAATAACTGTTTTATACCCAGTCAAAGTTTAAAAGAGTCGGAGTCGCTAAAAAGTATCGCGACTCCGATAGTAAAATTTCTTGGTATTGCACGTGCATTTACAAAATATTCAATTAACCATATGTTCAACTAAACCTCAAAGAATTTTTCATAAATTTGTCAAAAAAAAAACTTTAAAACGTAATATCTTTACATTGACTTAATATCTTTAAATTGACTAATGATTTTTGACTCAGGGTATACTCAGTATAATTAAGAAATTCGGTTAACAGATAGGATTTTAAAAATTCTTGTTCAACTTTTTTAGTAAAGTAATTACTTCCCATTTTAAGTCAAATAACTTAGTATTTTAACTATATTTTCAATAATTTGTGATTTCAATAATTTGTGAAAATAAGTCATTAAATTACAAATCCATCTGTCACCCAATCAAATCAACCGGAATCAAACATTATAATCAATCTACAAAGTTGAAACCACGGTTAGCACGGATCCTTATAATGCCTACCTAGCTGTCCCAAGAACGCCACTTATACGAAAAGTTAGCGTGCACATCAAGGTACCCTGTGAGCCAAATTTTAAAATCATTTAATTTTGTCCGCGGAAAATAATTTAATTTGAATGTTCAAATTACTTCATAGTGCACCAATAAAAACACTTGTAGAATTTGAACCACTCAATATAATTTGATAAAAGTTGGTGCAAATGTAGCCAATAGTCATACCAAACTCTGGAAAAATTTTCAGCCTGATTGGATGACTGATGTAGGATTTATTGCAGTTTTAGTTTAAGTTTTGTCAGTTTTTTGCTACTTATACCTTAAAGCGTTACCAATTACTGTCACTATTTTTAAAATAACGATTACATGAGTGTTCTACTATGTAATACCAACAATTTTTGTTATAATTATTTTATCGGTACATGTACAGTTTTCATTTTTTAGACCAAAATAGTGATTTGCTACTTATTACGTGATTTAAATTGGCTTATGCCAATGACGTTGACACAGCCTTCAAAGTGGAGGGGGTCAAACCCTGAATTTCTAAAAGAAAATCCATAATTTCTAAAATAATTGCCTATATTTCTAAAACAAAAGGTACTTGCAAAAAAATATGGGCAGGCCATGGCTTCTATTGATACCAACATTTCCTAAGGTATAAACTACAGCCAGAATGCAAAAAAATTCTGAAAAATGGTTAAGAAGGATTTCTAGGGATACCTAAATAGAAAATAAAAATATTTATTTATCTGAAAACAGAACAACTGTGAAAAAACCAAATATTTTTTATACTGACAAAGATAATTGACTTTAAAGGTTTAGATAAGTTAACTAAGATATCTGACCAATTCAAAGTTTGGAGGGCCAGATGGTTGAGGTATAAGCGAAATAATAATCATCCAGAGTACAAAGAAAGATTGTTGCGCTGCATAATTGATCTAAACAGTAAACATCTTTAAAGAACATCATTTGAGTTATTAGAAATTAGGCTGCTGAAATTTATATTTTACGGCGTATAATGAATATTTTCATCATTTTTAAAAATAGTGTTAGAGTATTTGTATTAAAAGAGTACATTGAGCTATTTTTTAACAATCTTATGGTGGAGAAAATCAAAAAAACATTTCTTAAAATGTAATTAGTTATTTGATGGTAATACAATGTAAAAAATAGGGTTTAAATAGTTTTCACTTCATTTTAAAAGTAAATGTATTTAAGGAGGTCAATACAAAATATTTTAGGAGATCTGCTTTTTTTTTTGTTTTACTAACTGGTAGTCCTTTGACCAGGTTTTTCGCTTTTTTTAAAGTCTCTCTATAGTAAAATATCTTAGCGTTTAATAGTTATGAGCTTACATAGTTTGAACCTCCCTCAATTTAAGGGGCTTACAAAATTTTCAATGGTCATAATTTATGAACGCTGAAAGATTATACCATGAAACTTAAAATTTATCAATGAGTCTAGTTAAGAATAGTACAAAAGATATTTTATAATGTTTGGGGAAGGGGGACGAAGATTTTGGTTCTTTTTTTGTTTCCAGCCTCCGATCTCTCTCTCTCTCTCTCTCTCTCTCTCTCTCTATATATATATATATATATATATATATATATATATATATATATATATATATATATATATATATATATATATATATATATATATATATATATATATATATGTATATATATATATATATATATATATATATATATATATATATATACACATTTAAAATGTAATTAGATACTTTCATTTTCGTCTATAACTATTTTTGGTAGATCGCTTGAATATGTCTTAAGTTTACAAGTTATTTCTTTTGCTCTTATTTTGCATCTCTATTTAAGTCATTTGATGTATGTACACTCCTCTGCAACTAAACTATTTAAGACAATGTATGTACGCATTTAATTTATATATAAATATATATATATATATATACGTGCGTAGGTAATTCCAAGTTCAAGTGATTAGTTTTAAGAAAAAAAAAGTTTTAGACAAAACACAAGTCATCATCGGGGATACTTAAAGTTTAAAGGATCTTGATTTTAATTAATAGTGATTGTTGTGTTAACTTTTTATTTCAGGGCCGACGAACCAGGGGGGCCAGGGGCACGTCCCCCCCCTCACTTTTTTTTTAAAGGATTTTTTTTATAAGAAAATTATAGATTTAGAAGACTGTTAAGAATTGGCTATTACTTCCCCCCCCCCTCCCCATACACACACTTTGATACCTGTGTCGTCGGCCCTGTTTTTCAAAATAAATTCATGTGTAAAACTTATATATATCTATAAGAGCAGGTTTTTTTTGTATATTAATTACCACAAATTTATTATATCATTTACAAAAAATTTTAAAAATGCTTTGATTTAAATAAGATAATTTTATTTAACAATTAATTTTATCTGCTTTAGTTTACCAACAATCGGAGTGCCCCATAAGTTACAAAATATAGATATTTTACAGGCAGAATCATGAATTATAAGGTGGATTATAAAGACAAAAACGCCAAAGCAAGTAAGCTATGTTGGATATAAATCTAAAAATTGCGAGGCCCTAGGTTGCTGCAAAGCTGGCCTATAGGTAAACCCGGTCCTGATCTCAATTTATTTTAAAGAAAATTTATTACTTTTAAGTTTAGGCTTCCATAAAAAATGTTTTATCAAGCAAAACAAATTTTATAAAATTAACTAAAATGAAACTATTATTTTATATTCACTATTACTGTTCGTAAAAATAGTTATGAACTAATACTTTAACCTGATAAAATGTTATAGACATCTTATAAAATGTTATAGACATCTTATAGACCAAAAGTTTATTTACGAAAAACTGGTGACCTTTTTAAATCATTTAGTTGTAAAAATAATTTCTTTTCGCAACACTTTATATTTTAAATCTAAGAAGCATATGCAGAAATATTTTTCTAAAACATATATGTCACCATAACCAAACCTAATGAAAATAAAAACAAGACACTTGTTTTATTTGAATATAACTAGGGATAACAAAATTGAAAATTTAAAAACAACCGCAAGACAAAGTTTTTTCTAGTCATGGGAAACGAGCATTAACGGTATACGATTCTACAATAAAAACGCATCAGTTGTAAAAACACTTTTAAACTTAACGTGGGACACATGTCCTAGCTTGTGCACAAAGTATTGGTATTTGGCTAGCTTGTGCACAAAGTATTGATTCTTGGCCATTAATATAAGAGCCAGAAAAACCTGTTGATTGTAATGTTTTTAAAGAAGGCACATTTCAGAGAAAGCGCAAAGCAAAGTTGGTATCAAATATTAACTAATAAAATGTTAATTAATAAAAATTATTCGAATGATATTAACTGTTTAAAAAATGTTATTTTTTACTTAACTATTTCTTATGTTTATGCACTATTAGTTAAAAAAAGTTAATCAAAAATTAGTTAAAAATTAGTTTAATCAAAAGTATTTTGATTAAACTGCTTTGATAAAAGTTATAAGAATAACAAAAAAAGATAAATTGGGCAAAACTACATAAAAAAGGAACCATCAATGATTGTAAACGTGGACCGACGTGTCGAAGTTTTTATATTTTGGTTTCGAGATAAGACTGTTTTTCTGGAAAAAAAATCGTTGAATGTATGATAAAATAGAGTGTACCATCGACTGTAAAACATGGTGGTTGTATTGTTAAGGTTTGGGGCTTTTTGGTTGGAATGCGGCAGGTGACTTTGTAAAAAAGAGGGTGTAATGACAATATTAGTTTACTTGTACACTTAAAAAATCATACTACACTTTCGGAAAGATGGGTTAATGGAAAGCCATTTATTTTTTCAGAAGGAAATGACTTAGAGCTTAAATCTAAAACATATTTTTTAAAAACTTGTATAAGTTATTTGACAGAGTTCGAGAACGATCAAATATTGAATAAAATGATTTAGCATCCCCAATCACATGATCACTCTTCTATCGGTTTTTTATGGGAAGAATTAAAATTAATTTCAAAAACTAATGCCTAATGATGCATAAGATGTGGAAAAAACTTATTAGTTAGTGGCATAAATTTTACTTTGGCAAATTTGATAAGCCGTTGGGTAGAATGCCAAGAATATAAATGGCTGTCATTGTCTCAACTGGTGATTAAAGGGCAAGTAAATTATAAATTAATCTAATGCGACCTAATATTAACTTTTCTGTTAAACTAATAAATAAGATAACATAAAATTCAGGTAGACTTAGCTTAGAGTTTCACTTCTAATAGTAAAACTTAGATATCTTATATAGAAAAGTATGACAATTCGAATAATTATGAACGGTAGTGTTTACATATAATATGTGCTTTATATATTATTTATTTACTATATAACGCAAACACATCCCTTTTTTGCAAGGTTTTCAAAAATAATTTTATTTTAGTGAAAAACTGCACAATAAAGTACTTCATTCTTAGTCATTAAAAACAAGTGTTAAACAGAATATGCTGGTTACAACTTTTCAGGACCATCAGAAACCGACACAATTTTTGAAAAAAAAAATGAAAAAAAATATTGCATACTTCTCCTCTACTTATAAAGTAGGAGAAAAGTATAGCTGTATTTTACCACGTGTCTCGATTCATTAAAATGAAGAAAACATGTTTAAGAGCTTTCAGTGAGCAAGCAAACGATCCTTAAAAGTTGACATTCAAATTCAAGGATCACTAGAAAAGAGACTAATCAAACCTAGACTATTCAAATCAGTAAGAGTATAGTTGATTACAACGGCAAAAAAAAACTAAATCGTTAACTGCAAAAGCATATCATGTTAAAGAGCTGTCAAATGTTTTAAAGTATTTCATATTGTCCATATCATAGTTGTGGTTTCATTTCTGCACCTTTTCAAATTGTAATTGAGAACATGAAAGTTGTAATTAAGAAAAGTCAGATGTAATTGAGAAGGTGAAAGTTGTAATTAAGAAACGTTACATGTAATTAAGAAGATGAATGTTGTAATTAAGAAACGTCAGATGTAATTGAGAAAATGAAAATTGTAAATAAAAAATCGTAAAGTCTAATTGAGAACATGAAAGTTAAGGAAAGTATAAAGAATACAAAGTTCTTTGTATTTTGAATTTTGTAGTATTAAAATACTTTGTAATTTAAGGCTGGAAATACTAATATAATATTAATATAAAAATATAAAAAGTCATGAAAAAGGCATTTGAGGTTTAGCTAACAATAATTGTTTTTATATAATAATAAATCATTATTATTCTGATAATCTTTGGATTTTTATATAAAAAAAAGTGTTCATTTTGAAAAAGACATAAGCCCATAAATTTAAATTAAAAATATGTGCGTTATATGTTGCTTTTTTATAATAAATAAAACTCTAAAAACTTATGTATGATTTTTTTTATCTACTTTTTTATTTAGTTTTTTTAGCTTCATAGACTTTTTTTCTAAAAAATTTATTTTTGTTAATCATAAAAAGTTTGAATAAATGGACTTGTGCCCTTTACAAAATGTTCAATCACATGTTGTATTTCTTAATTACATATTGCGTGTAGTAAAGTAAAAGTTGAATTTTTGCAATTGTTGGACGCAGTGGAGGATTAAGACTTCTTGGGGCCCGGGGCTATTTTTGTTTTTGGAGGCCTTTTTATGGGCCAGAGCCTGAAAAAATGATTTAAAAAAATAATAACAATAATACTCTAAAATTTTTGGGGGCCCCTAAATTTGCGGGGCCCGGGGCTATAGCCCCACTTGCCCCTCCTCCCACTTGATCCGGCACTGGTTGGACGCAGCTTTTATTTTTGTTAAAAGTAAAAATTTAAATCTTTTTTAATAATAAAACTTTAATTTAAAAAAAAAAAAACATTAAAATAGCATAAAAATAATATTGCAAACGCATTTAAATACATACAAATACATTTGAGTTTTAAAAAACACAAACTATTCCCTCACTATAGAATTTCATATATACGTCATTCTGCTATCTCAAGTGCTTAGCGGTTTATTATGTAATAGAAAAACCATTCGTTTACGCAAAAAGATGATTATTTTAAATTAAGTTATATAAGTACATAAACTTGGAAATAAATTATAAAAAAGAAAAAACATTGTTTCGTAGATTTTTTTATATCAAATTGTAAATAGAAAATTATTTACTCTCCATAAAAAATGAGGTCGGAGCGATCATTTTCGGTTTTTTTTAAGAGATATTCATTCATGGCGTTGAATAAAACCCTGTTCAGTCTTTCTAAGAACAATTCATTTCTTTCTTCAGAATCTTTCATTGACATTTTTAATGTCGTAAAATCACAAAGGTACACGTTTTTAAGTTTATTGCATTGTTTTTTTATGGAAGTGCCTTTATCTGAAACAACAACAATTGGAATTTCATTACTTTTTCGCAGATATACAATTTCTTTGATCCATTTTTTCACCTTTTGTGAACCTTTCTTTTCTTGCGCAAAATAGAGGATGAAGTCTGCGTTTGTCACCGTTGCCTTGTAAGTTATAGACGCGTTTTTTCTGTAACCAGCATCAATATCAAAAACCTTAAATGAAATAATGTTTGAAACCAGTGAAGGCTTTCGGAAAAAGGATTTAAAGCGTGAAACTCTTTTAGTTGAAAGTAGTTCTCCCGCCGCTCGTTGTATACACTGCGACACTTTTATTTGAGGTTTTGTGGGTCCCGTAATTTTTTCGTTTACATTTTGTTCAATGAAAGCATTATATTCTGGAATCAGATTTCGACGAGGTAACAGTTCTTTTTTAACAACTTGTTCTATAAATAAACCTTTTAAGCTCTCTGAATCACCAATAACAGCCATGTTTCCAATATCAGAGCTTGTCGGAGTAATCTCGCTAACAAATGGACGTTTAATTGAATCCGTAAAACTGCGCCATTTTTGTCTTCCTGCATTAGTAGTCATTTTACCTGGTATCTAAAATCGAATTTAAAGTTAGACAGAGCATTTTTTATAACCGTGCAAAAATGACCAGTAATAAATCATGTGTTTTGAAATTTTCATAATAAATACTCGGTAACTTCCGTAAATGAAACTCGGTTTGTCAATTTATTTGCTCTATTAAAAAAAGCAAGACCATTTAATTTGAAAAAAAAAAAACACTTCCTAATGACTCAATGAATGAATTAATTAACATAAAGTTGGTAAGTAAAAATATTTTTATACAGTTTTTTTTTATAATTTTGTAACATGAATTTTATAATCAAGTGTTAAAAATATCTAACAGATATTTTTAACTTTTAATTCGTTTAACTTAGAGTCTAAGCGTTATAACGTTCTCAAAATAAACTTCCAATTGAATTTCAGACAAAACTTATTAAATTCACTTTGCTTTAAGATATATAAGTTTTAGTGGTAACATGGAATTTATATTTGGATTTAAACGATTATAAAAAAGATTAAACACTTACCTAAACTAACGATATTATGATGTAGCAACAATAAATAAATACGCAAGTGTTGTTTGACAATAACTAACGTTTGAAAGGATCTAATGATGTGCTAAAATTGTTCAACGAAATAGTTTAATTTTTAAAGCAAGGTTGTAGCTTCAAATGCAAAATTGTAAATTACCCACGTGATGCATGTTTGTCTTAAAATAATCATTTTTAATTTATTACAGACGTAATTTTCTAACGTTAACTGAAAATCATCGTATTAAGACGTTTCTCGTTGGAATTTGTAAAAAGCGTAATTTCTAAATACTTGACGTAGTTTTACGAAGCCAAATATATCTTAATGCAAATTTGAAATCAAAATATATTTTAAATAAAATAAAAAGGTTTTAAATAAAAAAAAAGTTACTTTCTATTACAATAACAGACTTGAACGCTGGTCTCTTTTGAAAATAGTTGCGGGAAATCAAACAACCACTAATCTTAATATGGATAAGACAAACACTCTTTAAAAATAAAAAAACAGCTAAAATTGCAAAATTAATTTTTTTTTAAATAAAGTGATATAAAATATAATGATAGTTGTAAAAAATTTTGATGTTTTACAACGACTTACATAGCATCTAATTTTAAACGTCTTTTTTATACCCAAGTTTTATTAAAATTTAGTTTAAATTTTAAAAAATTTTCGTTATTTAAAATTTCTGATTTTTAAAGTAAATTTAATTATGTAGAGTAAAATGGGGTATTTCACCGCTTTAGAAATGTCGCCACCAATTTGTGTATATCTACTTTTATAACTTATAACTCAGGAATAAGATTTGTCTATAATTCAAATTTCTATCTGAAGAAAAACAAATTTCTTATCAAATTATGTAAAAAAAATCTTCTTTTTGTGAAAACTTGATAAAAAAATTAATTGACAAAAATAATCTTTAAAAAAAACAGGAAATTTAAAATTCTCATAAAAATCAAATTATTTTTTTTCATTCAAAATTTAAAAGATTAAAATATTGTAAATTTTTCAAAGAAAATTTGTATTGTTTTTTTCTTTCTAATTTTTATCGGTTTCAAAGTTATTACGGAAATACTACATGGGGGAATTTCACCACCTATTTATATTCAATAGAAATGCGCTTTGATTGGATAATTAATATTATTTCCCTTCCTCTTGTTTTGGTAATTTATTAGGTTATGTTGGTCTTATGCGCTTTTGATTAGATAATTTAATTAATACGTCTAATTAAAATAATTTAGGAAAACGATTAATAAAGTAAAAAAATAATTAGTATGCGCTTTGATTGGATAATTAATATCATCTCCAACTTCTTGTTTTGATAATTAATCTCTCAGGTCAAGTTGATCTTATAATCAATTCAAATTAATTAAATCGATCAAAAATCAGCAATGCCGCAAAACTACAAGAGAAAATTTGTCATCAATTGTAGCGAAGAGCTAATGAAAAAAGGCATTGCAAAAGTTAAAGCTGGCGAACTGAATTGCAAGCCACCTGCAATACAGTTACAATACAATACGGTCTGATAGGTGATGAGTAATCTGAAAATGTAGAAAAATTGTTGCAAAATAAAAGTTGTTCACATGTGTAAACAATATAGTATATTACCCAGGTTAATGGTTCCTGATTCCATAATGCTGTAATCTATTACTCATTAGCGGTTAATTATAATAATAATAAAAAAATTATTTTCACGCGCTTTATGTAGTTAATTAATTAAACGTCATTATCCGGTGAAACATTTAATAATTTTTTTGTTGAAATTGGCCCTGAACTATCTAAATTAACTCCTAATACAGAAGCCTCATTTAAAGATTTCATAGTACCGATGGATAATTGCATTCATTTGGATGAGTTATCTAAAGAGTTATCATTTGATGAGTTCGAAAAAGCCTTCAAAACGCTAATAAAAATAAAGCAGTTGGACCGGATGAAATCAATGGTAACATAATTTTAGATTCCTTTGAAAACAAATAAATTATATTCTTTTTAAAGTCTTTTAATCATCAATAGAACAAGGAGTCTTTCCTGATCAATTGAAAATTGCTAAAGTTGTTCCACTTTTCAAAGGTGGTGACAAATCTGATATAAGTAATACCGGCCTACTTCTATCTTATCTTTTCAAAAATACTAGAAATGTTTCCCGTGGTGTTCCACAAGGTTCCATCTTAGACCCTCTTTTGTTTCTAATATATATCAACGACTTGCATAAAGCATCAAATCTTCTAAGTATTATGTTTGCTGATAACACAAACTTATTTCTCTCTAACAGTGACATCTATCTACTTTTCTCCATGATGTACAAAGAACTTCAAAACATATCTAAATATAACCAAAACAAAATGGATTTTTTTCCACCCGCTCTCCAAAAAAAGTTTTCTACCTCCAAATCTACCAAAAATTCTTATTAACCATATTGAAATTAAAAGAGATTCTGTAACTAAATACCTGGGGGTTTTCATTGACGAGAACATCACGTTTGCTCGAAAGTTTCAAAAAGAACTTTATATAAGGCGCGTACTCATTTAGATAAAAATAATTTAACTAAACTTTATTACTCTTTTATCCACAGTTATATAAGTTATGGAGTTATTGCCTGGGGTAGCATTGATCAAAGCAAGTTACAATGTCCCTATCGCCGTCAGAAACATGCAATTTAATTAATAATTTAATTAATTCTGCGGATCGGTTCGCACATTCCTCAATATTTTTTAATCAAATGAAAATCCTAGATATATATAAACTAAACATATATAAAAATTTATCTTTTGTCTATATGTGGAAACATGATTTGTCGCAAAATTATTTTGCCTAACTTCGACTAACCCCTAACTTATCCTGTTTTTAAAAATAAATTAAAAGACCTCAGTCTTTCTATTGAAAATATCTTAATAATAATATTTTTAATTTATCAAAATAATCAAAATAAAAAGTAATAATAATAATTTTTATTCTCATGTATGTTCAAGTTATTGTCATGTATGTTCAAATTTTGTTTTATACTTGTTTACAAATTATTTTCATTCATGTAAATACGATTTATTGTTTTTATATAATTTTTTACGTACTCTTTTTGTAAAAAGGCGTTTTTATAATATTTTACATACTCTCTTTTGTAAAAGGTTTCTGACGATAAGATCATTGTGATCTTCTTTTAGAAGCCTTGTTTGTATTTGAAAAATATGTAATTTATATATATTACGTCAAATGTAAACAAATAAACAAACAAAAAAACAAAAACAAAAAAAATATTTCAATACCAGTTTAGACAAAATTAAAAAAAAAATCAAAATTTTTACTTCACATAATAAATAATTATTTAATTACAAATAATGCTTCCAATACCGGTAGTACCGGAATACCGGTATTACCGGACATTTTTAAGTACCGAAATACCGGTATTAGTTTGGCTCAATACCGGTATTAAAAATATATTTAGAGGGCTTATGATATAGCAGGTGCTATCACCCTCTTTACGTGAAACACGAAAGTAAATAAAATACTTAAAACTTCCAACAACGCTTTCGGTAGGAAAAAGAAAGCTAGATGAAAAAAGACGTGTTTAAATTGTCTAAAACAAGTATTCTGCGTACTTTATACGTCTTAAACGCGTCTTTTACCCATAGGTAGCAATTAGCTAGCTACTCGCTAGCTAGTTGCTAGCTCATTTCCCACTGGGCCCGGTGGGAAATCAGCTAGCAACTAGCTAGCGAATAGCTAGCTAATCGCTACCTATGGGTAAAAGACGCGTTTAAGACGTAGAAAGTGCGTAGAATACTTGTTTTAGACAATTTAAAACGTCTTTTGTCATCTACCTATTTTTTTCCTACCGGAAGCGTTGTTTGATCGCGACAGGAAGTTTTAAGTATTTCATTTACTTTCGTGTTTTCATTAAATAATGAAGCACGATTTAAAATATTATCATTACGTCACTCGCTTTAATGTAGAACGCATGTTTGAATTTTGCACTAACGTAAATATGAAAAGTTTCCGTAATTTAGAAAGGGGGGGGGGCGTTTAAGTAACTGTGATCAACTGTTGTGCATTAGGCATGGGATACCTAATTGAATACCTAGTTGAATACCAACTAGGTACTCAAGACATTTTGTACAAAAAAATTGTCAACTTCTGCAAAAAAAACTTGAAAGTAATCTGTAATTACAACAATAACAGAGAAAATGGCGAGGAAATACTGATGACACAAACAAAACCAATAATGATGAAGACTTTTCCGGCGGGCTTTAATTTGTAATGAGTGGAGAGAATGACTCTATTGAACTGACTGATGATTTACAGCCGTTAATCAAAAAGGTGCGCATCGTTGTGAAGTTTTTATTTCGCCGTTCTCCGACAAAAAATGATCAAAATTCAAAAACACACGTTAGAAAAATTTGATAAAGATATTCCACTAATACTTGGCTCCAAAACTCGCTGGATTAGCTTGCACACAGTACTCGAACGTTTTGTATAATTGAAAAAATGCATTCGCGAGTCACTGATTGCCCTTGAGTCCAAATTTGAGATAACTAATAAAGAGTTCAATGCAATATTAGCTGTTAACTTATGTCTTGCGCCAGTAAAACTGGCTGTGGTTTTTTCCGATAGTGATTCTGTGGACAACGCTGTAAACTTGTCATTGAAAAAAAAGCTTGACTTTGCAATTTTGAAAAATAAGAAATGTAACAACAAAGAAAATTGAATGTTTCGAATAATTCATCAAAAATTATATTTGCAAAATTCCTACCATTACCTAAAAAATGTGAAGCCAACAAGTTTCAAATTGGAGCATGGATTTTTAGCAAGTGGTAACTGTCACAAAATTAGATGAGCTCTTGAAGATGATATTCTGAACGCCCTATGTTTTTTACGGGCTCATTTTACAAAGCAGAAAAAAGCGAAAAATGAAACAGTCAGTAGTTTTGATATAAAATAAATAAGCTGATTGAGTTAATGAAATTTTTACTATTAACTTGAGATTTTATCTAGATTATGATAAATTTATAATAACTAAAATTTGTATAAGCAAATGGTTGCTAGAAACGGGTGTCACGAGCGCCCCTGAATTTAATAAATATCAAGTATACGTAATATGTATACTTAATAAATATTAATTCTCAGGTTTCACATCACTTCTCAAAATAAATCAAATTTATATA